GGTGTGGGTGTTCTCTTTCTCCACACCCACACCCAACTATCCCGAAGAAATGATGACTTTGTATGAATTCCCTGAAATATTTTAATAAGGTCTCCTTTCTTTCTCGCCCTAATACAAATTTTTCCTCTTGATATGTTCCTATCTTTCTAGTCGTGAATTTCAAGTGTATGTAATCGACGTTAAATCGTGTTGTATATAAGAGATCCATATATTGTAATGTGCTACTCATTTGTACTCAAATTTTGTGCAAAGTGTTCATTCTTCTTCTTCTTCCTTTTTGTGTCAGTTTTTTTTCTCTTCCTTCTTCTGTCTTAATCTATGTATCGTAAGGAACACGGAAATAGTCAACAATTAATTTGCAAATACATATAATACAGGTAAGAAAATATTTATTGAATCAATTTGACATAACAGAATTAAAAAAAACTTATAGACAAAACAGAACAAAACAACGCGTCCTGTGATGCTTTGATTCTTTTTATACAAATTCTTATATTCGCGATCATGTGGTGCTTTCAATCTCTTATCTTCTATGTATATTCTTGGTATCTCACCTCTTACCAAAAGATTTTAAACTTTGAATTTATCTTTGAATAAATTTAACTGTTTTAATTTGAATCTTAAGGTTTTCTTTTTAAAAATTCATAGGTTGTCTTTGCCATCTGATGATCGCCTTAGTCGACGTGAAATATAGATCATGGTAGCTGGTATCTCACCCTCACTTTCACCCTCTGACAGGACGGAATATTCAAGATTGGGATATTCGGAAAATCCACGGAACGGGGTAGACCAAATTTGGAACGATTCACAAATTTTCGAGACGGAGCAAAACGGACTCATAGTCTACTAGCTAATACGAATGACTCATCCAATCATTTCTAAAGCCAATCCATTGAGGCACTCCTTCAGATCACTGTGTAACCGGATCAATTAATAAGATAATTATACAGCAAAATTAGATCTAGCTTATAACGGCGTTCTATCATATTTTCATCGTGGGCCTTTTTAGTTGTTCTATTTTATTAGTATCATTAACTGGCGTCATCTCTATCAGAGTTAAGCATATATCTTCTGTCATAGTGAATTAGCCCAGAATGCCATCTATCAATTTTTTTAAAAAGGGCCAGCAAGATATTTAGCAGAAATACTATACAAATTATGCTGATTCTAAATATATGTAGATCTTAATATATGACCCGATTATAAAAATATCATTATAGTGCATTTAGAAATAACCACTAAAAAATAAGCAGCTTCGGTGCATCAGTCAGTGGATCATTAGATTAGGAGAAAGTTTATTTGCAAGGACTCTAATTGCAGCCATTGTCTGATTATCAGTTCTCCTTACTGGATAGTTGCTCAGGATACGTATGGCGTACACTTAGAATACTTCACATGCGTATAGTACGCGTGCCGATGTGTAGTGCGCGTACCAAATGGGCATCTATCGTCATTGGTTATTATTATCCACTTGCATTTCTATCCAAATACGTAATTGCACAATCATTAGAAACTTATGTCACAAGACAAATGTAAACTCATTGAAGCAATAAAAAAACATTTCAACGACACATACTATATAACGAACATATATTTCAACGTAACACAAACCTCAACCAGTTTCATCGATGTGTGATAGAATTATTTCATCTATTCTTACATTACCAGTAGAAATTGTCTATCGAATTCTTGATCATCTTGACAACTTTAATATTTTATGCTCGATCAGAGATGTTTGTACACGCATTAATACGATTGTCGACAGTTACCATCGGTATCAGGTAAACTTTTTCTTTATCTCAATGTTTCATTTTCATCATCTTCAAAACATTATTCATTTGCGCAATGTGTCGTCTCTTTGTCGTGTTTTCTTTTCTTAATTTCAAATTATTAGATAGAAAAAGGAGATTTTATGCTTTATTATGAACCATTTACTCTACTACTTAAAATGAGTAAGTGGCCTTCCGTCATCACCGTCTATTGAAACTGACGAAAGTCAGCTACCAGCAAGAAAAAATTGCCTTACTATTCAATATCATTCGCTGAGATGCAGAAAACAATGCAATGATCTATTTCATTTCACTCTAAATTTAGAACAAAAAAAAAAGGACACTCGATTACAAGCTGAAATGAAGGGCTTAGGGAATTGTGAGTGAGAGAACTGTTTTGAGGATGAGAGGACTAGAAGAGTAGGAGGGTTATCTTGAGGGTGAGAGGGTTTTGTGAGTTGCCGACTTTTAGAATTATATCATGAACTATATTCCATAGGCTTGCATTTTCTATAGGTAAGGCTTCCAGATCTCTTCACCCTCAAGGTAGTTCCCAAGTTCTCAAGTCTTCTCACCCTTAGATGGCCTCCCAATTCTCAAATCTTCAAGTTCGCAAGTTTCCCAGCCTCCTATTCATCTATTCCTCAAGTCTTTCACCTTTAGATAGTGACCAAGTCCTCTATTGCCCTCATCCTCTGGATAGTCGCCATCTTCCCCAGCTTTCAGTATATAATGAAAGGAGATAGATAGTATATATAAGATAATATAAGTTTAAAGGCCTTGAAAACTTCCTCGGCGCTCGGACAGTAAACAAGAATTCATATGCTGTGTGTTACTAGTTTTATTTATAGTAAGACGCCTTTGCCCTCATATAAACTCCATTGAGTATTAAAAAATAAAGCCGTAATTTTTTTTCAAAATTCGGTTTGAAATAAAAAAGAGCATAGGTTACAGAAAACTTAAACAACCTAGAGAGAATAGTGATGCAAAGCTGCATCTGAGAATCTATCAATGATCTACAAAAAAATTCTCAGTTAAATGAAAAATCTTCAAAAGATGATAGTTATTTTTTAAGGATGATCAATTGTCACAGAAACGATCTATCTGATTTGTTTTCTGCATTTCAAATAAACATTTATTTACTTTTATTTTTGTTTCTGGTATTCTACTTTTGTGTTTGCCCTGCTGCTATTCGCTCGTTATTTATTTTATTTCTCTCACTATTGATTTAATTCACAAGTAGCCTTGCTACATACATCTATATAATTCCAAAGCAGGATTCAATGCGCTGCTATGCATTTTGATAAATTCAAAACACTGATATTGAATATTTCCTCAAGTCAGAACTTAATCAATTGATGGTTGTTCTCTCGAACTTATGACTTCTTGCTAATACCGTAAGGCGACTTCTCTGTGGCTAAGGGGCTTAAAACTTGTACTCACTATTTTCTTTCAAAGAATATATGTGAGTTCCATAAAAAAAAACAATGGAAAAACTACTCAAATCGAACATTTGTGACGAATTGTGTTTTGAAAATATTTCTGTTATTTTTGACATGCAATCACATACAAAGAATGTTTTATCAATCTACTGAAGTTCAAATAATTTCCACAGCTATCTCATCTCCTGAAGTAAACTGTAAAGGAGTGCATAATTTTCCACTGATCGGCATTTTTCGTTTTTCTTCGCCATGAATTGACGAGAACTTCGACCAACCTTTTCAAAATTCATTTGATCTGCAAACGACTTATCGACCCGTTTCTCTAACCCAATACCATCGTCATAATCTTGTAAAAGTGCGATAGATATTTCACATTCATTATAATGATCTATATCTCAAAGGATATCTTCGCGTGTTTTCTGTTCTGAACGTAGTACACAAAACAACGATCTCTAAACTTCAACATATATTCGACTATTAAAACAATTTCTAGCATTTAAACAGTCTGTCATGCCATTTATTCCTATATCTTTCCATTATTTTAACACTCTGACTGTTCCGTCTAGACACTCACCACACTGGATCTCAGATACAAAAGCATCGGACCGCAAGGAGCACAACATCTTGCCAGTGTTCTGCAACAAAGCAAAATAGTATACCTCTAAACTTCTCATTCTATCATTCAATTACTATTCCTCATAGACACTTACCATGCTAAACCTCTCAAACAATCAAATTGGCGATCAAGGAGTACAATGTCTTGCCAATATTTTACAATACAACAAAGTAATATACAACCAAACTTTTGATCCGATTTCTCACTGATTGTTTCACACAGACAATAACCACACTAAACCTCCATTACAATCAAATTGGTCCACAAGGAGCAGAACACCTTGCCAATGTTCTCCAACAAAACAAAGTAATCGATCGCACCAAATCTCTTATTCTGTTTTTCACTCGTTATTTCACACAGACACTTACCACACTGAACCTCCATTACAATCAAATCGGTCCACAAGGAGCAGAACACCTTGCCAATGCTCTACAACAAAACAAAGTAACGTATTCCACAAAACTTCTCATCCTATTTCTCACTCACTATTTGATACAGATCCTCACCATATTGGACCTCAGATCCAATGAAATCGGATCACAAGGAGCAAAACATCTTGCCAATGCTCTAGAACAAAACAAAGTAAACTATATAGAAACTTTTGATCTTGTCACTCACTCACTATTTCACACAGACACTCATCACATTGGATCTCTACAACAATCAAATCGGTAGTCAAGGAGTGAAACATCTTACCAACGCTCTGCAGCAAAACAACGTAACATACTCTCAAACTTCTCATTCTATTACACACTCAGTATTTCATACAGACACTCACCACGCTGAAACTCGCAGCCAATCAAATTGATGATCATGGAGTACAATATCTTGCCAATGCTCTGCAACAAAACAAAGTAATATACTTCACCAAACTTCTCGTCTTAGTTCTCACTAGTTTATTTGACACAGACAATCATCACACTGAACATCTACAACAATCGTATCGGATCACGAGGAGCTCAACATCTTGCCAATGCTCTACAACAAAACAAAGTAACATGCCTCACCAAATCTCTCATCCTATTTCTCGCTCACTATTTCACACAGACACTAACCTCACTAAACCTCATATTCAATCATATCGGTCCACAAGGAGCAGCACATTTGGCCAATAGTCTTCAACAAAACCAAGTAACATACTTCCAAACGTTTTATCCTACCACTGACTTCCTACTTGACACAGACACTCACCTCACTGAACCTCGCATCCAATCAAATCGGTGATCAAGGAGCAGAACATCTTGCCAATGGTCTTCGACAAAACAAAGTAATATATCCCCGAACATTTCATCCTTTCCCTCAGTTCCTTCCTCACATAGACACTCATCTCATTGACCCTCATGTCCAACCAAATCGATGATCAAGGAGCAGAACATTTTATCAACGCTCTAGAACAAAACAAAGTAATATATCTCCGAACTTCTCATCGTATTTCTTACTTACTATTTCATCTAGACACTGATCACACTTGACCTCGAATATAATGATATCAGTGATCAAGAAAAGCAACGTATTAAGGAATTACTATGCATTAATCATGGACTGACAGTATCTTTGGAATATAAGAAAGATAAACGATTATAGATAACCATCGCATCGCTTTGTATTGATGCAGTTTTTTTTATTTTTTATTTATTAAATATACACTCGATTTGCAAATGCTACTAATCATTCTTCTCGTATGCTAACGAGTGTTCCAGTAACAATGGACTTTTTATATTTCAGTGACATCTTCGGAAAATTCCTATCTGCTCAGATCTTATTTTTGTTTTGGTTCGAAATATTGGTGTTTTTATCCTCTGCAAGAACCTATAGATCTTATTACAATGGCAATTCAATCAAGTTTTTCATGATTTAAATAATTCGTTGCGACTCAGCACTATAAACAAATGGTGCAACATGGTTCATGACATCGATTTTCTCTAGCTATCATCTTTGCGGGGTAATCTGAGTCTTATACGAATCGATAAAATGATTTGAAAAAGTTAACTATAAACTGAAACGAAAAAAGATTATGTCAATTCGATATTTAGATAAAGAATACACAATATCCAGAACACATATCTATCAAGTACTGAAATATTATCTAAAACTTGATGTCTATAAGAAGACAATCGATCGATAGCTCACTAATAAACAATTGTCATGAGTTAAATGAATGAGATGAAATAAAGAGAAGCGAAAATTTTCTCAAAAGGTGTTGGTATGGTTAGGAAGATATTTCAAAGGAGTGACACTAGTGATTATTTTCAACTTAAGAAATATTAGATCATATTCAATACTTTTAAAATTTTTCTTGTAGCACTTGACTTTGGAAAAGATCGATCATTGTTACAAAATAGTGCAATGACTGACATCCATAATTTGACATAAGAATGGTGTCACCAAAATTTTTCCTCTTTTCTCGAGCAAGGTCGGTAGCCATCGAATAATTCAGATTCAAATTCACTGGATTATCAAAAAATTAAAAGGTACAACCAAAACAATCCGACAAAAAGTTCTTCATCTTAAACTGTTCGTTTGAAGCATGTCGTAGGAAATGACGGACAGGATTTATATTAATAAAATACATGTCATTTTATAGAGAATTAAAAGACAAATTTTTTGAAAAAAGGATAAAATCTGAACAAACGAATATCAAAATAAATATCCTTAAAATACTAAGATGTCCTTTTCTCTTAGGACATCCGTTATATATGACTGACATATAATTATAAAGAATTTTGACTGTGCTAGTTTCTTGCTATTAAATAATATTCTTTCTCATTATCAGTTTTCTGTGTTGAAGCAAATGTTTTTCTTAGCTTCAATGCCATTTTCAAACAGTTCTAAGAGTTGGTGATGTGCTCCTGTCACAGCAAGTGATATTTCCACTATGAAAGGATAGATACACTGCATACTGTTAATTTGACTATATGAGATAACTGGAATGTGATAATAAGACTGTTTTGTTATACTAATTGATAGGTGTGCGATAATCTGTAGAGGTCTTGGCTATTACTGTTTGGCATCTTTAAACAATGTTTTTATTTTTTTGGTAACTTGACTAGATACTAGACTTTAATAGTGGCCAAATAATTATTTTCGATAGCTAATAAAAGTGCATTACTTTCTTCGCATAGATTTTTCGCAACTTTGTGACTTTACTTGTGATGTTTAGATTATCGTTGTAGAAGATAGCTCAGATGTTATGATCAAGATTATTATGAATAATCGTTTTAAACTAATTTGATTAATCATTGAGCGCATGGAACAAGCTCGTGTTCTCTTTGATTGTCAATTATTTTCTATAGCTATAATCCGCAATATGTTTTAACGCTTTGAAAAATAGTACAATAATCATTGGTTAATAATTTCAAGAAAGCTCAATTATTCTTTACATTTGAAAGTATTTTCCCTTATATATTGATTATCACTGAGTAAACCCTGGCAAGTTGATTCATTAAAATGCTCTCGTTTCACCAGCAATCGTTGAATCTCATCTTCTGAATCCTATATATACTCACAAGTAGCATGGATCGAAGCGATTCACTGTATCTTTTGACATTACAAAGTCTTCTATCATTTAGATATCTCTTCTACAACCATTAACTGAGCTTAGGTAGTGTGTCCTTCGGGCTGCCTTCATGTTCTACGCAATGACATTGCATGGACACCTCGAGAATATAGCACTACTTGAGTTATGATTTTTTCCATTGTTGTACGGACGACAGATGGTATTGTCACTATCGATAGGAAGTTTTCAACAATCATCTATGATTCGCCGCGAACATTCTTATTTTTTTCATTATCACAGCGGAAAAAACTATAACCCAAATAACAGGTTTTTTCTCTCCTTCTTTTCTCCCCTCCCATATCTCTCGTTCTTCTCTGTTGTTCGGAGTCAACATTGAGCCGTTTCAGGCGAATCGTAGAGGATCCTCAAAAACCTCGGATCGACACGGACAACACTATCTTTGGACTATATGACAGAGAAGAAAGTGATGACTGAAAAAACAGTTAACCTGCAGACAAACACCTAAACAAACTGTTATCTTCGAGATTTAGATCCTGACTACAGTCAAGGGAATTTTTAAAGATTCTCTTTATGCTGTCAAACAAAACTTGTAAATTGATATTCAAAAAAATTTCAAATTGATTTTTAATTCTATGTTTTCTATTTCTGACAGATATATTTTATTTGTCATATATAATTCTTTTCTAATTTGATTAATAATATTTGTTTCTTCCCTTAACTAACTATTTCATTATACATAGCTGTTTAAAAGATTTAAAGCAATCATCATAGACTTTTAAAAAGTCTTTATTCTAACCATCATTTATGACTTGATATCGTTTTCATCCTTAGTTCATTTTGATAGTTTATTAGAATTAAATAGTTCTTTCATTTCGGATAAAATGTCAAAGTTTATGAGGAAGATTAAAGGAATCTGCCGGATTTAGCGATCCTTCTTGGATTGAAATGCTATACATGTGATTTTGTGGGGCAGCTCGCGCTGCATCGAATGATATATAGGAATTTATGTTTTTATCAAGGTTTGACATATTAGCAGTCCATCTACCGGCTAGGGAATATTATAGCATTCTAGAAGAATATGATTCCAGCACATCCACATATCAACTTGTGCAAAGTTTTTTTTCTAAAACTAATTCCTATAGAGCTTCGGTTGCTCTTGAATCTCTTATATTTGATAACTCTCATCGTTGCTTTCTTCGTGCGTAAAACTGGCCATCTTTATCATTGCTCCCCAGGTTTCGATTTTGTAACGCTTCAGTAAGCTCAACTATGTACCTCAGGACAAAGGTGACCAGACGCTAAACTTTTCCAGAAATTGTGTGTCTTCAGGCATTATAGCTTTTGCATTTTACTGTTTTTTCCCATAGAAAAACGTCATTGTGAAACTGCTACAATAGGGATTAAAAAAGATCCATTTTTTTATTGCAAATCATTAAAATGTTACTGCAGTTCTGCAATACTAGTCTTCTCACTGGAATAATTTTTATACAGTAAGAGTTAATGCATAGTCTTCTACTGATTAGTATAAATAACTCTTTCGAAAATGAGATAAAAAAGCTTTGGTCTGTAAGAGTCCTACAGAAAGATACAGAGATGAATGAGCACAAGTATGCCTTCTCTTCTACAATGATACATACGATTTTCATTTTCTAAATGGCTAGCTAAACTTATGAGGTGAAATGAATTTTTTCGAAGTTACTACCCTCTTCAGAAGTCTCATAGGCCAAAAAGTTTTGCCTCAATTTCGAAAGAGTTATTTAGGCTAATCAGTAAAATACTATGCACTGATTCTTACTTGCTAGAAAATATATTGGCAAAAAGGACAGTATTGCAGAACTCCGACACTATTACATGATTTTTCAATCAAAAAATGGGCCTTTTTTACCATGACACTCATCAATTGAGGAACTAGTAGAATGCAAAAGTTATAGAGCTTGACCATGCGCAGTCTCTGGAAAAGTTTCGCGATTGATCATCTTTATCTTGAGGCACAATATCAAACATACTGAGAGAGAATAATCGAAGTAATCTATGTTGGTCCACATATCATTCGACGCACCGCTAGCTGTTCTTTAAAAAGAAATAAGTAAGTGGCTTTTCGCTTGAAGAGAGTCGTCAAATTCGAGAGAATCCTTTGATTGATGAAATTGAACTATTTTATCTAGTATGTTTGTAGAACAACTACGTTGGTTAACAAATCGTCACACATTAGTTGTTCCGCTATGTATTGTTAATGGATATAAATTTTTAATAGACTTGAATAAGATCGATTTCGAAATGAAGTCAGTTCGATTTAGCCATGAACAATGTTGTTCAGTAAAGATGACTATTCGAATAAATAATTCTAGTGAGCGATGCAAGTAACAAAAAATGAACATGACAACTCATTTTTTGGGCAAAACGCTGATGAAGTATCCGGAAGAGTTCGCTAGAAAACTGTGTGTTTATATTGAAAGTGTGTGTTAATAAGTTCTTTCATTTAAAATGACTCGAAAACTACCAGTCAGGTCTTGTATTTTTAAGACTGGTATTCTGTCATGTCTTGGTAATTCTGAAAATTGAAGTTTGAAAATCTATTCAGTTATCCAAATCTTTACTTGACTATTGACCGTCTCAGATTGAGTTTGCTGATCAATGACATGAATATATCCATCAATTGATGCATCTAGTCCACATTAATCAGAAATTATTGGCATTTTCAACGAAGTTCTGAATCAAGAAGATGACATACTAGTGCTAGAATACTCTACTGAAAGTGATGTATTTCTGGTAAAAAATGAACTTTAGAAATGAAGCATCATTTTGATCCGCATCGTTATTCTAGCTATTCCCACGAAAACGTCATCAGCGATAATTCTAAGTGAAAACTCAAATCCTAGGCTCACTTGATGATAAAGCCTCTTTCTGCGAGTATAATGGTCTCCTTTAGGAAAGGATAAGCGAATTTCTTGATGAGCATTATCATGTCTTACTGCACTTTGAAAAAAATACTCGAAAACTTCTCTGAGCATGTATGTTCGTTTTGTTTCGCGCATGAAAAAAATTAATTTTATGGCAGATATTTGGACTATTTAGTCCTCTAATTTGTTCTGAAATAGGATGACATACATTTTTGGAGATTAATTCAGATATAAGCCCTGGAGTTCAGCTAACTATAACAAAAACACTGAGAAAGTATCTTTGTCTTTGTGACCATATAACATCATCGTATCGTATTGACTGCTTTATGTTAACACAAATGTTTTAATAGATTCTTCTCGCTGTTGACGATAAGTTGCCAAAAAATCAAAACCAAAGCCATCTATGGGTAGTGTTAGATCGTTTCGAATAATTTGGATGAGAGTATGAGTTTGATCTGGATATTGGTATGAAAAGTAAATAGTTTCATTGTCTTCATGATAGAGTTGATTCCCATATTCAGTTTCGATCATCGGACAACGGATTGCTTTGGCATATGCCTCAATAATTTTGTCATAATTTAGATGCGTTTGATCGTAAAACAATCGAATCGAGATGTGAAATAGCTTGTGATCGACAAACAAAAAGCAGATATAACTGAATCTATTTACAGATATAGATGGTGGAATAAATTTGGTCATTTGATTACCAAAATCACTTAATCTTAACCAAAAATATCTAACAACATGGTGTTTGTATTCGTGAGCTTGTGGCAATGTGTTCCACTCCACCGTAGAAAACGGTCGTGGAAGATGGGCATTGATATTTTGTGGACTATCTCCCAGTTGAAATTCATTGAAATCTGGTTCCCATATTGTCGGTACGATTACTGACTCTTCCGCTGTCATGAACTGTGCTACAGATTCTTGGTTGAAACGATTTATTTATTTGATTGTCGTTTGATGAACTGTCTACTTTTTCAGGAAGAAGTGTGAATATTATCGAGCCTCTTAGATTCTTCTGTTAATTATTGTCTATATAACACTGAATATATATATATACATATATATATAATTGTTCTTCTTGCTAACAAAGAAAAAATACACAGAAAAATATGTCAGATATAAGAAAGCAGTCAAGCTTTTTTTCTCACTGTTATTGCTTGTATTATTTCTTCAATGATTAACCATGCGTCACGAGTGCGACGCCATACTAATATGTTGTCGAACGCTATAAAGCGTGGCGAAAAACGGCAGCTGACTACATTTTTTCTTAATTTGATGAAACTGAAAATGATTGGATGGAACTTTAACAAAAAATCAATTTAATTTTTCCCATTTCAAATATCTTTAGTGTAGTTTCTGATGAAAGACGGTCCTGGAGATATGAATAAAATTCTGATATAGATGGTGCTTGTTTTGAACATATTTTCAAAACTTTTTAACATCGTAAATCGATTTGTTTTTTATTACAATGAGAAAAAAAAGATTTATTCTTTTAGCAGAGTTCGATCGAATCGTTTTCAGTTTCATCGAGCTCAAAAAATCAACAAGAAAATCTAGTCGACTCAATGACTCACTGCACTCTGCCCATAGACTATACATCAGTATTTTTCTTTTCTTCTGACTCTCCTCGTTTACAGCAAAAACATCGTTGAAAGAAAAAGCGATAATTTCTTATCTCGCTATAGATGTCACACGCGTATGTGTGAGGGTGAGTTTAAACAAATAGTTACCACGACACATTTTGGCTTAATTTCAAAGCCTCATCAGGTGGTTTAAATATCTGCATAAATAATTCAAAGGGTAAGTGTGTGAGGGTGAGGTGAGGGTGCATTTTAATACTGGTTCTCTTGTAGCTTTCGAACTAGTAGTTGAACATCGGTCTTTTGCCGTAATCTTAAGAGTTATGATGAATTTGAAAAATGCCACCTGATGATTGCTCGTAGCGGAGTGTGAAATCGCGATAGTGGCTACTATTGGGTTGGCACGAAATCTTTTGCGTTTTTTTTTTAAATTTTATTTTTATTTTTTAACTTCGAGATTATAACTAACTTTCAACAATATATGCTCCATTACTATCTATGACTTGTTGCCAACGTTCTGGTAAAGAAAGGATCCCGCGTTCGTAAAAGTCCAGGGAGTTTTGGCCGAAGAAATTGACGACGTTCATTTTGAGATCGTTCTCGTCGTCGAATTTTTTCTCGCACAGATAATTAGACAAAGAACGGTACAAGTGGTAATCCATGGGAGTCAAATCTGGAGAATAAGGTGGATGTAGAACCGTAACCCATCCGAGCTCTAATAATATTTTACGCGTCGACTTTGTAATGTGAGGTCTGGCGTTGTCATGCAAAAGATAAATTCTATCCTGCATTCTCTTGAGCTTTGCTACAACTCGATCAAATTGTTGACAATAGAGATTAGCAGTGATGGTGCAGCTAATTGGAAGAAGTTTCCAATGAATAATCCTTCTTACTCCCCACCAAATTCCCAGCGTAATCTTCGTTGGGTGAAGGTCATTTTTGGGCGTTGGTACACCTCTTTGTCCAACAGTCAGCCATTGTCGCTTGCGCGTGTGGTTAACATACAACATTCACCTTTCATTGCCGGTAGTAAGATTGTGGAGCCATTGATAGTTGCGATGAAATGTCATTAATTCCGTACAAGCGTCAACCCTGTGTTGGACCTGATGTGGTGACAATTCATGTGGTATCCAAACTCCATATTTCCACGTTTTGCCTAATTCGCTCAAATGTCTTTCCACTGTAGTATGAGAGCAGCCAAGTCGCTCTGCTAAACACCGTGTAGTCAATCTTGGATCTTCTGCGATAAGCTGCTTTAAGACATCCATATCCATCTCTAGTGGTCTTCCAGAATGAGATGAATCGTCGAATTCGAAGTTACCGTTCTTGAACCAATTGAATCAATGTTGCGCCGCTGTACGGATAGAGGGTGCATCCTTGCCCATCGTACTGCATATGTTGCTTGTTGCTTCCGTTGCTTTGCGACCCAAACAAAAATTCATGAAGTAGAAGCAGTCGGAGCTCTCTTCGAGATATCTTTATTTCTAATTCAAGACCAACATCCATATCCATAATTTTGTTGTTCTTCGAAAGATATTCGTACCCCCTTTATATACCCTTAGTGTGGAAACTTCTAGAACTTTCTCGACTGTTCTAGGAAACTTTTTAAAAAAACGCAAAAAATTTCGTGCCAACCTAATAGTTCAATTGACACCCTCACCATCAGAGAAGGACGCGTGTGTATCTGAGTACACGGGTTAGGGCTATTTAAAAAAACTAGTTCACTGCGGTAGGCGAGGCGGGAGAAGCGAAAGTCATGATATTCGAAGGTGTGTATTAGAATGATCGCCGTCCACGACAACTTTGTTTCTGTCTTAGCGGGACTTCATCAGGTGGAACACATAATATTCTATCTACTAGATAGTAATTCAATAAAATGTATAAAACATGTGATTTACTGTTTCGATACAATAATTACATTTTTTTTGTGAACATTTGCACACGTAAAATTTGCAAATAAGATTTTCAAGTAAAATTTGGTGGAAATGTTATCTTAATCGAATATGTAAGTGAATATTTAGTTATAATGAAAGTTTTAAACTAAGTGTGAGTTACCTTCGGTGGTTGATTGTTTTGGTAATTTTTCTGATTGTTAATCGGATTATTCATTTTATTTCTCGGTGTTTTGCTTTTCTAAGTTTTCACTTTTCGGGTTGTTTTTGTTATTGTTGCGATAGGTCAGCTTTTTCTTTTTTTGTGCTTGGTGAACAGAAGACTTTGATAATGTATTGATGTTTACCATTTATCTAGAATAAAAGTGAAAGCGAATAGGTGAATTGTTTTGTTATTTTGAGTTAGGTTTTTTTGTGAAATAGATGATTGAAGTTTTGGAATCGGTTTATTTACATAATGAAAATATATACAATGGAAAATATATTCAATGAAAAAGATATACAAGGAAAAATATTTACGACTAGTTTCGATAGTGATATGTTCAGTTTTTCGTAGTCGGTAACGTGGTATTGTTAATCGATATTTCTTAATAGATTGCGAGATGGTTTTTATGAACTAATAAATTTTCTAATGTTTTATTTGTTCGAGTACCAAGTATAAGTCGTACATTTTTTATCGATGAATTTTCGTAGCAAAAATGTTTTTTTCCACAACTTCTTGAATTCACAACTCAAGGTTTTTAATTGTCCGCTTTCATATCTATAGTGTATAATAAGTTGTTTTTCTTTCTTCGGTTCCTCTTTTGTGTGTGCATTTTTGTTTTGTTCGGTCACCGGTTGTTGGTTTGATGGAGGTTGTTGTTGATCATCAGATAAAGATTCATTTACTAAGTGACGATGAAGTTGTTTATATCTTTGTTTATCCAAGTTTTCGTAGATCAACGAAACATTGTAATTTTAAAAGAATTCTTTGAAATGTCGTTGGATAAATTTTGGTGGATAGCCATTGAGAAGTAAGCCTATTTCAATATTTAATCTTTCGTGGTCAAATGTATGAACATCTGAATAAATACGAATACCACGAAGTAAGGCTGTATAAATTGTGTTCGAATGAATATGTCGTGGATGATCAGATGTATATGGAAGTATGTATGGTTCAGCAGCTGGGTTACGAAAAATAGATGTTTTCAACTTTCCTTCAACATTTTCGATAAGTACATCAAGAAATTCCACCGATTCATGTATTGTATAATTAATACGAATATTTGGATCTTTTTCATTTTCTTGATCAAGTAATGCTTTAATGTTTTCAATAGATTCATTGGAAGGCATGAAAATATCATCAATGTATCTGAAATGCATTTAGTTATGCGAGTAGGGTCCTGCGGGAACAACTTTTTTCGGTTCCCGTTCCCATAGTCCCGTTCCCGTAATGTTTTGTATTTTTTTATTCGTATTTCAATATTCGTGTCGATGAAAAGTATCACTATTAAACTCTAGCTTGTCGCGACATCACGTTCAGCACAGCGTAAGACGTATAAAATTAAAAGTTAAACTAGGATTGGACGTACACGTGACTAATCATACAAGTCATATTTGGATTTGATTTTAAAATATTGCAAAATATTTCTCTGCTAGTAAATCTTTTATATATTAAATTTCGTGAAATGTCTTCAACAAATTCTACGAAATCGACTTTATCAAAAGCTGAAATTCAAGGTGTAGTAACATCAAATGATCCATCGATTTCATTTAAAAAACCAACAGGTGTAAGAAGTGAATTTTGGACAAATTACTCTCAAGTTTATCATAAAAATATTGTTCAAGATTATATTATATGCTTACAACGTAGAGCCGTATTGAAATGGATAAGTGAAAATGGAATAATAGTAATGAGTCATCATAATTGCTTAAAAAATAAACCTGTTACGACGACTCCATCTCGACAACGAACAATATCATCTTATTGTCAATAACCTTCGTCATCAAAAGAATATCCTTTGTTACAAAAACGTATTACAGAAGCATGTGTGGAATATTGTGCCGTCGATGGACGCTCGTTTGAAAGTGTATCTGGAACCGGATTTATGAATTTAGTTAAACAATTAATAAATGCTGGTGCTACTCTTGGTACATCTGTCAGTGTTAGTGAATTATTATCTCATCCAAGTACAGTAAGTATGGAATTTTTATTTCAATTAAAAATGTATATACAAAATCAATTATTATCATTTTATTTTTCAATAGATCAGTCGTAATGTGGAACGGGTTTATTTAAACTTAAAAAATCAACTTATTTCTTTATGTGAATCATTAAAGTATTTCTGTATTACCTGTGATTTTTGGTCTGCAAAGACAACAGGTAAACTTGGTGTGCTCTTTAGAAAAGTGAACATGTCATATTTATTCCCTTTTATCTTGAACGTATGCACTATGGTGGTTTGAGTTTACATTATATTGATATACAATCGCATCTCCGTGTATTTACATTAGCATGTCAAGTATATGATTATGAAACACAACATGCAATTAATATACGTTCATTTGTGAATAAGATTTTAGAAGAATTTGGTCTTCATTTAAACGGTGATATTTTTGTCGTTACTGATAACGAGAATAAAATGAAGTGTGCTTTTAAAGATGATGTGAAACGTGTCGGATGTAGTACACACTACATAAATAAAGTACTTCTACATGCATTTACATATGATGATATACAATGTGATGCTGCTCAATTATTGTTTAAATTAGTTCGAGCTCTTGTTACTAAAGTACGTCAATGTCATAAGTAATCTTTTTTATCAACATGTTTACAAAATTATTGTGATACACGTTTTAATGGTATTTATTTAATGTTCGATTCTTTTCTAAAAGTTTATTGCGAATTACCAATAATTTTAAATGATGAACAAAAATCAAATTATTTAAAAATAAAACATGATGATTTGGAATCAATATATTTATACTTAAAACATTTTTATGATATTATCGAAAAATTCATTTGTGAAAAGACGCCTACACTACATCTTGTTATTCCTTACAAACAGTTTTTAATTAATTTATCAAATGTTACTGATGATAATAACCCAGGTGAATGAATCCGATACCGGATCCAATCGGATCCGACTATCCGACAAAATCCTATGGGATTCCGGGAAACGGATCGACTAACGGATCTGACGGGCGAAACCTATTTTCTTAATTACGTGATAATTAGCATTTTAACCCAATACTAGAGACCAGTCATATTTATACGATGAATTACTATCGGAATCCGATAGTAGGATCCTATAATGTCTAGACACTAAGGTTCCGTTAGTAGGATCGTCTCCCGGATTCCTATAGGATTTCGTCGGATTTATAGAAATTCCAATAAAATCCGATCGAATCCGATAGGAATCCGATCGGATCCAATTGTTGGAATGATTCTCCTGGGAATCAGTTAATAGCATCTTTAAAAAGATATATTGGAAAACAATTGCAAGATTATTAGATCGTTGATGATGTTCATTACATAGCAACTATGCTGCATCCAAGTCTTAAAAGTTTTAATCATACATCACATAAAAAATATTATGCAGAAACATTATTAAAATCGGAATTTGATAAATATCAACAACTTGAACAACAACAGCTATTGTCAAATAATAATAGTAAGAAAAAAGAAAATCAACAGAAAAAAAAAACAATTATTAAATTTATTAGATGATATATTTGATTTACCAACATCATCAGATGATTTACTAGATGATACAGAAATAAAAACTGCATTTGATAGATACATCGGGGATGAAAAAAAATTGGTAAAGATATGAATATTTTAATATATTATAATAATAATAAATCATTATATCCTATATTGGCAAAAATAGCTCAACGTGTATTAGCTATTCCAGCAACTAATACCTGTGTAGAACGTCTATTTTCCGATGATGGAAATGTAATAACAAGTCTTCGTACACGTTCACAAACAGGTGAAGTTAATCAATTGTTATTTATACGTCGAAACATATCAACATTAAGAGAATTATTTCCACCATTAATTGAACAATTAAAAAAAAGAAAAAATAGCAACACTTCAACAACAACAATGAAGAAACGAAAAAAATTCAAAAGAAGATGATGATATGGTTATCTTGAAAGATAATCTTGATAATAGTACCTTCGAAGATGATGATGACAAAAAAAATGATGATTGTGATAATTAAATTATGATTTGATGAACATCAAATAAACTTGTCTAATTCTTGTTGATAGATATTCATTGTTCCTCTGTTACCCATGGAAAAAAAATAATCAAAAAATCGATTAAAAATCGATTATAATCATACGATTTTTTGATTATTTTTTTTACGTGGGTGATAATATATATAAATATAGTTATTGGAAATAAAACACTGTTACTAAAGACTTTTAATGCATATAAAAATAAGACAAAAAGATTTTCGGGAATGCCAATTTCTAATATCATGCTCGTTTCCGAAGTATCCACGGGAATTCCCGTTCCCAATTCCCGCGGAAGCGGGACGGAAAAATACGGGAAAAAATCGTTCCCGCAGGGCCCTACTGGAGTATCCTGCTTTTACTATATATCTCGGCATGTACCGAGAAATTGATCTGTAGCTTAAGAAGTTTGATAGAAGATAGTGATTTTTTCTTTTGATGAATTGATGTTTTCTAGATTGGATCAGCCGTTTGATTGGAAAAACAATCGAAAAAAAAAATCTTTTCCAAAATTGTGGTTGGATCTTCGTAGATTTACCCTATAACATTCAAGTTCTACTTTTAATTGATCGGACTATAGAAACTACGTTCAGTGATGACTTTTTTCTAGCACAAAAAAAAAATGCTCTTTCTAATAATGTATTGAAAGTTCAATTTTTTTAAATGTTTGTATATCAAAAACAAACAGCCTTTCTACAAGACAGAAAGTAATTCGGTATGTGTCTCTACTTCACCTTGTTATAATGATAAAATTTTTTTTTTTTTGCTCAAGTTCTATACTATTGGATATATTTCGACCAAATAATGCAGACACATAGGAATTCAGTTCAGTGAGAATTTCTTTTTGAATAAATTAAAAAAAAGACAAAGCGAAAATTTATTGATTGAATAAATAAACGATTTTATTATTGTCACTTGAAATATAAAAAAAAGTGATGTCAATTCGTTTGAATTGTTTATTTAAGAATCAGGAGCAAAAAGTTTTCTAATAACTTCATCATTTTTACATCTGAAAAAATATCAAAATATAGTTAGATAAATGAAATTATCTTTTCAAACTATACCCATTTATGAATTCATCACGATTTAATTTTTTATCACTAGTTATATCGAGTTTTTTAACGATTTCTTTGGCTCGTCTATGTGGATCTTGATCACCTTTACGATCTTTTACTCCAGCACGATCATACTAAAAGAACAAACAATCATATAAGACAGAATTATATTCTTGAATATAATAATACCATAGCCGATATAAGATGAGCTAATTCATTTTGATCAAGAAGTCCATCATTGGAAACATCCCATCTTAATTAAATCAATAAATATAATTAAAATAAATAATAAAAACTTACAAATCAAATACAACATCAAGTCGTTCTTCTAAACTACCAGTACGATTATCCACAGCAGTAAGAAAAAGAAATTCATTAAAATTAATTGTACCATCTTTATTTGTATCGATTTCATCAAATAATGTACTTTATTTAAAATATATCAATAATTAAATCATTACATAAAAAGCAAAAATAACATACTTGCATGAAGAAAGTGTACCACAGTGAGGATTAAGTTCTTTATACATTTCAATAAATTTATCTTTCTCGATTTTACCCGCTGGATATTTACGAAGAAAATCCTATTTAATTCAAATATATTTACTTTTATTTTTCAATCATATCAATTAAACATACATTATGCCATAATTTTATTTCTATTTAAAATTATGACAAAATTAGCATAGAAGAAAAAAAGGATGGATTACCTTTATCACTTAAATTTGAAGCTGTTCTTAACATAGCCAATTCTGTATTGAATTATCAAATGAATTAATTATCAAATATATTTATTCAATAATAACAAACCTTTTTGAGTTAATTCCATTGAATTTCGTTGTTTTCGAACTTTTGTTTTGTCCATCGATCTTATTTTGAATATTTAGATAAATATTAACTTCTATATCGAAAATCTAAACTAATTTATATACTTCTTTTCAAATCTTAATCAGTACTCCGTTTCTATCATCAGTCAATAGAATGATTACACTGAATCTTTTCTTTTATTTATAATAAATATTCGCGTGTGTTAGTAATAAAAAATAATCTACAATACATACTTTCGATAAAATTAAATCGAAAGAGAAAACTAAACAAACGACATGCATCATTAATCGCATAAGTAACAAAACCGTAATAAACAATAAATACACAACGATGAAGAAACACGATTGCCTTTTTACGTCAACATAAAAAGAAAAAGAAACATTTCTTTTCAAAAAAAAAACATCTACACTAATTCTATCTTTGATTTTTACTAGTACACTATTTCAATAAATCTATTGTTTAAATAAAAAATCATGAAGTAATTTTTTCTTTGAACATATTATTGATGATTTCATTCGTTTATTTCAAATATCATTTTTTTTTCAATTGTTAAACTTATTACAAATCTAATCATTAATATCAGTTAAGAGATAAACAATTATTGATATGAATTCATTATGATTAAACTATGTTATAGTTAAGACGATTGCTTCTTAAACATTACATTATTTTATTTTTCTTCTATGTAACCATAGAAAATATTAGAAATATTACTATTATATCATAACTTATTGTAAAAAATCTATGAATAATCGATATACTCATTCACCTAATCAAACTTGATAAACTTTAAAATATATCTCTGTTGAATGATGATTATGTTAATCGATATTTAACTTAAACAAGTTTAATATGACAATTAAGAATTATTTAAACAATATTTTCAATTGAACATATACCAATGATATAATATCTTAAAAATAAAAATATTGCCTTGTTTTACTTTACTAATTTTTCTAACTTTCAAAAAGAATAAAAACTAGACTTCCACTCGAGCGAAGCTCGAGTAGATAAGGCGGCTGACTGCGCGAGCCCGAAAAATATCAAAATAGGAGTGTATATGACATCTGCTATTTCAAAATCGTACCCGCCCCTAGAGAAAATCATAATGAATTTAAGTCAAATTCAGCTGTGTTCACTCAGCTGATAAGTGAGAGATAATGAATGTGATCACCTATCGCCATATAAGGAAACATTCAGCTGTTCATTATCGTATTACTCATTTCATCTATATAAGCCATGGCCAGCTTTTCTTGATTGCTCGAGACTCTTTCTTGGATGAATTTAAGTCACATAAGACGATAATTAAATTGTATATGCATTTAACATCTGAGATATTAATGGTCGCTTCAGGTTGAATCATACATCACCATATAAGGAAACTATCAGCTGTTAATTATCGTTTTACATATATTTATTATCTCCCGAACCGAGTGGAATTTTGGAAAACGGATTTCAGATGTGCACTCGTCACGCTCTCAGCAAACTTTTTTCCAGTTCAAAAAGATGTTCAGGTACTGAGAACGAGTGGCTGACTTGATTCGTGACTCATGTGTTGAGAAGAAGAAGAAGAAGAAGAAGAAGAAGAAGAATTTGCCATGGCAACTAAGCGAGTGAAAAGCAATAAGTCGGCAGACTGCACTTCGTGCAGTCAGCCGCCTTAATGAATACTAAACTAACATAAATCAATGTCTAGGTGATTAATCTTGTTTTTCTCTTATGTATTTTTGTTTTTAAAGAAAACCTTCATTTGACATTCATCATATTGTAAATAACGATAAAAATATAAATATGTCAATATTATTTAATGATGGTGTCCTTTCATTTTTTTTTCAATAATATGAAGGTTAAACGATTTATGAAAAACAAAAAAATATGCTCAGAAACTTTATCTTGATTTAATCGATATTTCCTACCTTTGACTAATAAACAAAAAATAGCTAAACTATGCTGAATGGTTAAATTCTAATATTCTACCACAAAAACGATTGTTTCGTCTTTTTAAATTTTCTTACATGAAATTTATTTGTTTGCTTAACAGAGAAAATTCTAGACGAACATCAAATGATAGAGTACTAGTCAAAGTTAGAGGCGGTACTTTAACAAAGTGAAATATCTTCTAGTTTACCAAATAAGTAAAGCATATTGTTAATAATGAATCCTTCTTATAGAATTTAGTTATAGCCCTAAGATTATACACACTATCATTATAGACAACACTATCTCCTATTCATTTATGCAATCAACTTTTAAATGTTAATTAATTGAAAAAAGCTGCCAGAAACTTTCTAGAAGCTTTGTTGAATTTCAATAACACATTTTGGTAATGAGCGAACTTTAAAAAGCTGCTTTCCACATCCACAAAAACGGATTGTTCATAATGTCTATTTAAAAATACGAAAAAAACCTTTCCTCTATCTCTTTTCGTTCTTTGCTCGAAACGTGTACTAGTTGCTTTCATTAGCAGCAATAAAATAGATGATATTTTATCATTGGTTGACTAGGACAATAAACATATAAGCAATAATTATTGCTTAGAAAAAAAAAATAAAATCGATGAAGTGAAACAATATGAAAGCAATAATTATTGCTTAGAAAAAAAAACATAAAATCCATGAAGTAAAACAAGACGAACGATAACTCACATATACATCACGACGAAAAACAAAAATACCAACAATGTGTCGTTGGTTTGCTTATATTGGTGAAGAGCCATCTCTTCTTGAAGATATTCTTATCAATCCAAAACATTCCATCATCAGACAAATTGATAAACATTTTCTTCCAAATCTTCATAAGACCTACGATCCTCGTCTTAATCAACCCGAACATAGTTCAGATACCGCATCTGATGAAGCTCCGATAGATTTTTTAACCAGCATTGACGGATTTGGCGTAGGTTATTATACAGGTGTTTCTGTTGATTTCAATAGTGATCATGTCAGTAGACCATGTATCTTTAAGAGTACTCGACCACCATTAAACGATCGCAATTTGATCTCTTTATGTGCTAATACATCATCAAAATGTATATTCTCACATATTCGTGCTGGTACTGGTCGAACTCCAACAGTTGAAACAAACAATCATCCATTCGGTTTTGGTCGATATATGTTTATGCACAATGGAGACGTAGCGAATTTTCGAAAACTCAAATTGGCTCTATTAACAAAATTATCTGAAAAAGCCTGCGAAAATATATTTGGAACAACAGATACAGAACATGCTGCTGCACTTTTCTTTACACATTTAGGTAACGATTGGGATACAGAATTACCTATGGAAAATTGGAAAAAAGCTATGATAGAGACTCTTCAAGATATACTTAGTTTGGTTAAAGAAAGTGCCAAAGACATGAACGAAGCAGTTTCATGTAGTTTTCTTAATTTTGCTGTGACAGATAGTTGTCGATTACTTGCTACTAGATTTTCATCAGTGGAAGGTGTTGATCCTCCTTCTTTATATTATTCGACTACAGCTGGACCTACTCTTAATCGAAAATTTCCAGATAGTCCTGATGGAAAATCAGTTCACAAGATACTAGCACGATTTATTCGTCAACACGGAAAACATGTTATTGTAGCAAGTGAACCGAACACATACAAGGTGGAGGAATGGCATCTTATACCAGCGAATTCGTTGGTTTTAGTCGATAAAGACTTGAGTGTTACAATTGAAAAAATTGACCTATGAACTCTTATATCATGTTCATTTTCTAATTTTCATAATAAAAGAAATATAGATTTAGACACTTTATAAAGAAAATATGTATTATCTAGAAAAATAGACAGGCATATTAGTCGAATCTTTGAAAATAGCTATGAAGTTACAGAAGTAAATATTTACTAGGCAATGATCCATATAATGGGGAATATGAATTTGCGGCAAAATCACTGTCACGAAAAAAACAAACAATTTGTC